GTGAGTTGGGAACGAATTGCAACTTGGGGAAGACCATGGCGTCGCTTGTGTGTCCAAAGATGGCGATATCCTCATCATCCTCCCTTCTCGAATTGAGTCGCCCTCGACTCCATCTTGGCGATGTCCTCATCATCCCCTTCTTCTAGAATTGGAGTCATCCTCGACTCCATCCCATCATCAATGAACTCCTGCAAAAGGTTAGTGGCGGCAGCAATGCACCGTATATAAAAAGGTTGACAAAATATAGTATAACATGGTGCATCAGATTATCACATAACTTCAGCCCGATGAGCGAAGTTGTAGCAAGAAAAGCACCTCCTTTTAACTTAATCTCATTGTTTTTAGCAATGTCATTTGGAGGTTTATTTTTAATCTCATTAGCATGTTTAACAATATCCGTAGGAGACAAAGGCAAGAATGTAATTTTCTTGTCCTTATGTATGATAGTGTATGTATTAGTTCTACCATGGTGTAAAGCATCATTATCAAATTCCCATGGTCGACCTAACAAAATGGAACAAGCTTGCATAGGGACAACATCAAAATCAGCGATATCATGATAAGAGCACGTGAAAAAAGCTAATGCGTGCGATTTAGTTACCTTAGTCTTACCACTATTATTGAACCATTGAAGTTTATATGGATACGAATGTTGTCGTGTGGTCAAGCCAAGCTTGTCAACCAAATCTGAACTCACCAAGTTGTTGCAACTCCGCCATCAATGATAGTGAGAACACGACAACCCCGCACAATGAGATACATGTGGAACAAATTGTGGCGTTGGATCTTCATCTCTTCTTCATGTCCCACACGTACTCAACACACTGCACACAAGAAGGCTAGGGTAGTCCGCGATAGCGACCACGGAGTCAATGGTGATGGCCTCCTTGTCTTGATCGCCCTCGGTGGGATCTACATCAATGTTAGCGACAAAGGCTAAATCATCTTCAACATCACTAGCACTTACATATCCATCCTCGGTAGCAATGAAAGAGCGACGGTTGGGGCACTCCTTCATGACATGTCCCATGCCTTTGCATCGGTGGCAAATGATTTTAGAGTCGGACGAGGAGGAGCTAGTAGAAAGCACCCGAGTGGCACCTTTCTTCAGTTGTGGAAACTGCACATTAGACAATTTACTTACCCCAAAGAAAATAGAGGTGTAGATGGTCGTGGTGCAACAGAAAGCTTGGGCATCTCCGGCTCGGAACAGTCACTGAAAATTCCTCCCATTGTTAGACCCGAAAATCTGGTGTTGTTTAGTCCTGTACTTCTCATTCTGCCTTAATAGCAAGATGATATAATTGGGAAAAATTATGCCATTCTTTGTAATCAAGTATGTTCTCAGTATATCATGGTTTAAACCACCAAAAATCTAGCACTAGCATCATTATCATCTTCATTTATACCACAACGTGCTAAACCAATAAGCAATTCTTGATAGTATGCTTCTACTCCTTTATCATCTTGTTTTAAAGTTTGTAGTTTCAAACGTAAATCACGTTGGTAATAAGGAGGAACAAAACGAGATTTCATACGTTGCTTTAAAACATTCCAAGTTTGAGGCACAGCAGTAGCATTATTGGCATTGCACAAGAAGGCTTTTCCTGCAAGTGAATCGAAGAGCACAAGCAAGAAGGTAAAACACGCAATCTGATATTGCAAATATGAATGACGCGAATATCAATAGAGGGTTCTAGAACTCGGTTCCAAAGGACTAATCGACACAGTGGAGGAGATCAAGAATGGGGGCCCTGGATCACTGTAAAAGGATTTGTCACCACAGTTACAATGAACGATTCAGTTTCTCGATGAAAAACTAAACTCTAAACAAAACCCAATTGTGTAGCAGCGGCGACGGCTGTGTTTATAGTCTAAGACTCGACCTAGGGTTGGGGACGGCCAGGGGTTGGGCGCCCACAACTTGGGCTTAAGGCCCGACACGATACATGGCCAAGTTGGCCCAAATAGGTGACGCAGCACCTTGCCGTGGTCACACAGAATGATCCACGGACCTTCTAGAGCTGGGACCAGATCCAAAACGACGGCGTCGTCGTCCCCTTTCCAACGCATCCAAGAACGGCCCGTTTCGATGTCGTATGAGAAAGTTATGACCGAAACAGTGACGACGTGTCTGCTGAATCCGAGGGCGACGTGGCAGCTGAGTTGGGAACGAATTGCAACTTGGGGAAGACCATGGCGTCGGTGTGTCCAGCATGGCGATGTCCTCATCACAAAAACAAGTCAAAGCTAGGGAAATTAGTGCTGCTTTTATGGCACTGCTTCAATCGGGAAAGACTTTCACATACGGCCCCATCAGCACATGTACATCAGCTATAGATGTTCAACGGCCCGGCACGGCCCGGGCCCGTGCCAGGCATAGCCCGATGGGGTTTGGGCGGCGACGTCGTCGTGCCCTCTACCGGGCGTCGAGAGCGAGGGCACCGTGCACGACCCACGGCCTGAACACGGCTTTGTTGGGGCGTTTATCGATTGATTGAGCCGAGAAAATAGCGCCCAGGATATTCCACGATGAAGCGAAGCGCGCCGCGCGAGCCGGGGGGGGGGAGAGGCGCGAGCCACCGGAGTGGAGGCGGGAGGGGCATCCGCGGGCGCTCACGGCGCCGCGCGAGGCGCGCGAGGGGAAGAGGGCGTCTCGCGCTCAACGACCGGCCTCGATGCCACCAGCCCCATGAGCTACGTTGCAACGACATCTTTCATCTGTTGCTCTCTTTCTTTTTTTTTAACTTCATCGACACCTTTCCGCCTCCGCCATGGCACCACAGATCTGCGTGCCGATAGGGCCGGATCTGCTCCTATCCATGGTGGTGTGACTTCTCTAAGAGGAGAGAGTGAGGAGAGTGAAGGGGAAGACCCATGATTTTGAGCTTTTCTCCTGAGGGCGGGGAAGGAGGCTGGCCTTGGGGGGGGGGGAGGAGGACCTACGACTGAGAGCGAGGGCCGAGGGGGTCGTGTTCTGCTTCTCAGGGGTGTTAGGGGTTAGCCACACAAGGCTCTGCTGAGCGGACGTGGAGGAGATGGGGTGTTAGTTTAGTCGGGTCGAGGGGGGAGCGGGGCGGTGGGCGGTGGGCCGGGAGGGAGGAAGGATGAGGAGGCCCAGGAGGAGGAGGGCGGGCAGGCCGATCGCCATAGCAGTGCACCCAGGCTAAATTTAACAAGCTAAAATTATTTAGTCATCCAAACGGACCCAGTGTCGGGCTAAAAAGCCGACCATGTTTGTTCAGATGTATTTATAACATCAAACTCTGAATGTCATATTGCTTGGGCGATAAGTTATGGTGTAATTGAACAACGTGAGAGAAAAATAATGTTCGTTGATCGAAAAAGTACGGCTTATAAACCAAACGAATAGGACATTGGACGACATCTTTCATTCTCTCTTTCTTTTTTTTAACTTCATCGACACCTTTCTTAAGTACAAGCAGGTGATTATCCATTATTCTCTAAAAAATCGTGCTCTCCAGTGTAGCACATGATTTTTATTTTTCTTTACCAACAGTCTGTTTAGATTTACCTAACTGAAAGTTCTTCCAGCCGGATAGGTAGCTAAATCTAGCTAAAGTTTAGCTAAGTCTATTAGCTGGATCGTTTAAATCCATAGCAGCTAAATTTAACAAGCTAAAATTATTTAGTCATCCAAACGGACCCAGGCATGTAAACCGACCATGTTTGTTCAGATGTATACCAAATATACTCATATTGGAACGAGGGGTGTAATGAACAACGAAAAGTCCATAGACAAAAAGCCTATAACGATTGCAGAAGTTACTAGAATTGAGTTGCTTGCAACATACAGTATACAGTAATGAATAATTAATGCATGCAGAAGCGGAAGAACATCCATCCGTGTACCCATACCCTTATAGATAGCGTGGGTTATTTTTGGAAGAAAACGTGTCGAAGAAAATGTTTTTCTACTATATAAGTTTTCGTAGCGGTAATCTATTACTCCCTCAGTCAAAAAAAAAAAAAATGCAATTATAATATCTATGCTGGTTAATCGAGTTCAAATTTAATCAAATTTATAATAAATAATATTAATATTTATATCTCTAAATAAATATATTATAAAAATATATTCTATAACTAATCATGAATGTTTGTATTTTTTTTATTTAAATTTAGTTAAAATTCATGTTGTTTGAATCTAGAAATATGAGAATTGTATTCTTTTGTGGCCAGAGACGGATATTATAGGAAATATTCCCCTTGACAAAGGGGAAAGGAAATATTCTGTCACTAGGGCCTTATTTAGATTACATCAAAGTTCTAAGTTTTTTCATTCTCTCTCCATCACATCAATTTTTGGACGTATACATGGAGCATTAAATGTAGGTAAAAAAAGTAACTAATTACACAGTTTGGTTGTAAATCACGAGACAAATTTTTTAAGCCTAGTTAATCTATAATCAGACAAAGTTTGTCAAATACAAACAAAACATGCTACAATGTCCGAATTGCAAAAATTTGCAATCTAAACGAGGCTGCCTGGAAGACTCGATCGTCTCCGGTATCCCTTTCTGAGGAAGCCAAAACCGAAAACACCCGATAGACCCGCAACATTCTAGTAGGCTTTTCCTTGTTTCATTCATGGACGCGTAAGCCGAGGAAAACAAACACACGCCTCGCTTCCCCCGCCGTTTCCGCGACCGCGGCGTTGACTCGCTCCGCCCCCTTCTCCACTGCCATCCCGGCCCCACCTGCCCGCCCCCACGCGTCAGCGACGGTAGCGCGGCGAGCCCAACAGGAGAAGAAAAGCGCAACAGCGGCAGTGTCCCTTCCGGCTCCGGCTGGGAGTGCGGCGCGCGCGGGCGGTGCGGCGGGACCAGTTGGGATTCGGACCCGGTCCGCGCTGGGGGCCGGCCTGTGTCACCCTCACCTGTGTCCGGGAAGCGGCTCGCACGCAGTCTGGTTGGGCTCGAATGGTCGGTGCCGGACGCCGGGCGCGGAACCCTAACCCTAGGGGCCGGCTATATTAGATGCTGGGGGGCGGCGCCGGAGGCGGTGGCGCGGGCCTGGGACTGGAGCTCTCGGCGGTGATTCAGGCGGCCGTCGTCGGCCTCGTGCTCTTCTCCGCGGCCGTCATCGCCGTGCGCCGCGCCGCCTCGCGCTACTTCGTCGTCGACGCCGCGGGGTTCGCCGCCTCCTACGACGATCACTACCACAGCTCGCCTCACTACCCGATGGGGAATCCGCAGGAGCAGGGGACCGCCGCAGCGGACCTCACGGGGCCCTGCGCCGCGTGTGGTGGCGTCGCCTCCAAGAAGTGCTCCCGGTGCAAGCGCGTGCGGTACTGGTGCGTGCGTCTCCTCCTACCTAGTATCCGCCTTGTGGATTGTACTGGTACAATGCGCTGCATGTGATCTTGCCGAGTTCCCAGCGGAATTTGTCGCTTCTGCTGTGTGATTTGGTGGCTGGGGCGGACAATCGTGCCTCCGGGATCTTGCATGGTTCTTGACCTTCGCCCTGCTGCTCCTGCTTAAGAAATCTATTTTTACAATCGTGGCTTAGTTTCTTGGAAATTTGGTGTTTCGGGTGGGTCATTGCGATTGTCCATGAGTTTGAATTCACGCAGTTGCTGGGAGTTTCTGATCCTGCCAAATGCGTGGTTCTTCTGGGTTTTCTGCAATTTGCTGTTCTGGGCGCATGGTAAAATTTCTGGTGCTTGCTTCCTGTCTTGAATGAGGTTTTCTTGTGCTGGATAGGAGATTTAGCCTCTCTTTGTGTTTGGATGTGTGTCCTTGTTTGGCAGCACACAAACAACTATGGCAATCCTATTTGTCTTGGAGTGTGTGATAATCCATTCACAAACGAGTGCCTGTTCTAGTGTGGAAGTCGTTGGTTTGTATGCGCTTGAAATTAGTAACCCCCCTTGCTAACTTCAATGCATCATAGCCTACTGATTTTTTTTCTGAGGCTTATTTGTTGAAACTAAGGAAACAAAGAGTTGAAAACAGTGTTGAACTAATGACCGCATGGCAGTTCCCTGTCCTTGATGTTTTCTGACTGTTTCAATCTATCAAGGTGGAGGCAAAAGCTATCTTTTCAGTTCCTATACAAATGTTGATTTAATGATAATGTGTACTCCTACACATCAAACAATATCAAATCCATTTTCTAAAAGGTAATATGGTTGGTTTGATTGAAACCATATGGATTTCATTTGGGTGTAGTGTGGGTTATTTTGTCCTGTTTGGCAATATTTGTCTGTTGGCCACGTGGAACTTGTAAAACAGATGATAGATATGCAGGTTATTGCTGTGTGTTGTTTATTCTCGAAATTGATTGAATGGACTCGTAAGCTGGCAAATGGATTGTAGAGAAACAAATATTCTTGCTGCCTTACTATGTTGTGGCATGAATCTGTGGACTCCGATGTAATGTTGTCACAGAACCCTGTCAATGTTTTTTTTTGGTAACAATGCTGTTATGTTGCTCTCAGGCATTAATCTCATCATTTACTCTCTTCTTCAGTTCCCAAGATTGCCAGACAAAGCATTGGCAAACGGAGCACAAATTCAAGTGCAAACAAATGAAATCATTGGATCCTGCTGACAAGTTATCCTGTGGAATTGAGGCCAACAGTAAGAAATCATCAGGTTTCGGCCGCATCTCATTGGTGCCTGCCTGTAAAAAGATAAGCAAGGTATACTCTTTTAACCTATATAAATCTGTAAATGTTTTAACTTTTCAAGTGTCTGCAACCATTTTTGTTTGTCTCCCCTATGCACAGGGTCAGGTTCTCTTTCCTTATGATGAATTCTTAAAATTGTACAACTGGAAGGACCTTTATGTTGTACCTTGTGGGCTTATGAACTGTGGCAACAGGTACAGCATAATAATACTTTATATTATCATTTGTTTGCTTTATTTACACATGCCTCTTAAATGCACATGATAAATCCTCTTTTTTCTGTGCAGTTGCTTTGCTAACGTGGTTTTACAATGTCTCTCATACACGAGACCACTTGTGGCCTATCTCTTAGGAATGGACCATAGCAGGGAATGTATGTGATTGTCTATAATATGCATGCATTGATGACATCTCGTTATTTGCTTAAAATTGTTCATTTCTATGCTTCAGGTTCTATGAGACATGAAGATTGGTGTTTTTTATGTGAGCTACAATGTCATATTCACAGAGCTAGTGGAAGTTTGCACCCATTTGCTCCTACAAACATTCTTTCTCATCTGCCAAATATTGGTGGCAATCTTGGCTTTGGTAGGCAAGAGGATGCTCATGAATTCATGAGGTGAATTTCTAGTATTCTTTACTTACTTTACATGGATGGCTCCCTGTTGGATCGTCTTCAATTCAATGTGCTGTTATTTATATTTTTGCAGGTTTGCAATTGATAAGATGCAATCTGCTTGCCTTGATGAATATGGAGGTGAGAAGGCTGTAGATCTTAGCACCCAAGAGACAACCATTATTCAGCACATATTTGGTGGGCGACTGCAGTCACAGGTTTCTTACGTTTACATTTCCACTTCAACCATTTTAAATATGTATTTGGTTTTCTTTTGCCTTTGCTTTAATCAGCTCTGAACTTCTAATTGAGCTGCATTCTGTTACAATTCATCAACAGCGTATAGTGCCTAATAATTAGAAAGATGTGTGCAGGTTCAATGCACTGCATGTGGAATGGTCTCAAAACGCTATGATAATATGATGGATTTGACTGTTGAAATTCAAGGTGATGCTGAATCATTGGAAAAATGCTTGGATCAGTTCACTGCTATCGAGTGGCTTGATGGGGATAATAAGTACAAATGTGATGGGTAAGGTGACTTTGTGCAAGTGCTTAGTTCATGTATCTAGACACATGCACTTCCTACATATTTTTTAGCCACATTTATCAACCAATTTAGTTTGAGTGCATGCTGAGATTACCTTCAACCCCCCCCCCCCTAATGATCAGTACAAAGCACAAATTTATATCATGTATGCACATTTGAATGTCTTGTAAATACATGGACATAAATAACTAGAAGTCAAACACTAGTGTGTTCTAAAGCCTAGGTGAGCTGGTAGGTATTCATATTATTAATTTTGTAATAAATTGTTAGTGCTGGTTATTTAATGCTGAAATAATTAATTATCACGTATTTCTGGAATTACCTAAAGTCCTGTATTTTTTACTAGAGGAGCAGGGAAATATGTCATCTCGTATGCCATAATTTGAGGGGCGTAATTATAAATTCACATCCAGACCACTTGTATTTTGGCCAGTTGCATGTACTTCCCCCAATCCAAATATAAGTTCAATTACAACTCCAATGCAATCTTTTGCCTTATTTTCCCATGCCTGCCCCTACTTAAATGCACCCTAATCAATGAAGCCGGCTTATGTTTGGCTGCTCTAATAAGCCGGCTTATGAGCCAGCTTATCAACCATGGTATAGTGTTTTCCTCTCCCAACAAATCAGCCGTACAAATCAGCACAAGTGGTTTATAGACCAGCCGAACACGCTTTAATTTGCCACCTATCTTAGGGGGTGTTTGGTTCTTTAGTCGCCCCTAAAATTCATATCACATCGAATGTTTAGATACTAATAAGGAGCATTAAATATATATTAATTACAAAACCAATTACATAGATGGAGGCTAATTTGCGAGATGAATTTTTTAAGCCTAATTAATCTGCCATTAGCACATGTTTACTGTTTAAAAGATTTGTCTCGTAAATTAGTCGTAAGTTGTGCAATTAGTTTCGTAATTAATCTATATTTAATACTCCATGCATGTGTCCAAACATTCGATGTGACAGGAATTTTAGGAGGCGCCTAAAGAACCAAACAGAGCCTTAACTGTTGAAATGATTGATGGCTAATATTCATTGTACCCTCACCTAAATCCTTCTGTCCAAGTCCAAATGGACCTATATTTGGGATCAGAGGTAGCATGTGGTTTCAGTTTGTAGACTTCGTTTAGATCAAAGTATTGAACATTCTTTTATGCAGATGCAACGACTATGTGAAAGCACGGAAGCATCTTTCAGTTCATCAAGCTCCAAATATACTTACTATCACTCTCAAAAGATTCCAGGTTACGGCATCAGTTTGTTAGAACTGTATCAATGAAGTTATATGATTGCATTATAACAACTTCAAATAACAAACTTGTATGTGCCTGTAACAGAGTGGTAGATTTGGGAAACTGAATAAAAGAGTTACGTTCCCTATGGAGTTAGATCTGACACCATACACGAGTTGCACTGATGGAAGTGACCTGTATGATCTCTATGCTGTGGTCGTTCATCTGGATATGCTGAATGCGTCATTTTTTGGACACTATATATGCTATATCAAAGGTTATCAAGGAAGGTGGTATAAAATTGATGACTGCAAGGTATATATAGTTTAACATTTGTATTGTTACGACACAAATAATCTGTTATAAGCACCATTTTACCAGCTTGCTTCTTTGTATATGTAGGTTATGGTTGTTGATGAGGAGGAAGTACATGCTCAAGGCGCGTATATGCTTTTATATAGCAGGTATTTGCTGTTCCAATGATTTTGATGCTGCCTATCATCGTCTGTATCATTTTTCATGTGGGTTTGGGTGCAGTGCTCGTTTATATTAAAACTTCACATTTGTACCTCACGAGAATCCAAATCTATTTGTCAATTTCTGCTTGATCTGATCATATGGACATTCTTGCTTTTCTTTTGCATTTGTACTGCTGCTCCCAGGATTGTGTGCTTGGTTTTGTCATCGTCAACCAAATACAATTGTACTATACTGACTGGAAAAAAATATCCATATTGCCTGTTTTGGGAGGTGAAAGAACATATGCGGCCAATGGGAAATATATCGAACCAACCTAAACCCTGCTGTATGAACTATCAACTGTGATAATGCACAATGTGACAAGCACATAGCTCAACCTGCTTTCCCTATGTTTATTGTTTGTTCTTTTGATTTCAGCCAAACAACTAAATGTGTATCATAATTGTCTAATCTTAACCCTTTTGGGACACTATTGTTCTCATTCTAAAATTTACATGTTTTCTCTATTGAATCCATTTTTCTTATATATTTAACTAGTACTTGTCAGATTGCTGTAAAGCGTGCCGTTTGGACTGAAGAGCTGACAAATTTCCATTTCCATTTGACTCTGCAGGAGAAAAGCTCGTCCCAGGCCACTTGTTACAGTTGATGAGTCTGTGAAACAGCAACAACAGTGCAAATTGTTCCCTTCAAATGGACAAAGCCACATGATACTAGCAGATGCAACATTAAACTGTGTATCATCTTTGAAGACTACAGAAGATCAGTTACAGCAGGATTGTGAATCCAATAATGAATCTTTGCATGAAATGGATATTAAGGACCAGGAGTCAGACTTGGATCTACGTACAAGCATTGAAGATGACAAATTCATTAGCAATGAAAATCTACATATACCAGGTTCACTAGTATCACATGTTCTCGAAGATGCTAGAGCTCCAGATTCCTTTGCAGAGCAATGCGAGGTGCAAGTTGGCCCTCCTTTAGAAGGTGGTCCTATTACGATGAGCTCTGTGCAGTTTGGCAACTCCACAAGCGAAGCATCTTCAGAACATTCCTTTGCAGAGCAATGCGAGGTGCCTGCCTCATGTATTGATTCAGTTGACTATATGGATGTTGATACTGAAGCTGGCACAGAAGTTGAGAGATGGGACGGACAAAGACCTGTCTTAGATGATTCAGTTGGAAGGCCGAATAATAGCACAGCAATTCTAACTGCAAATGGGATGTCAGGAGAACCCAAACCATCATTTTCCTCTGGTTTTTTTGATAAGCTCTCAAGAAAAAGGTCTTCCTTTGCAGAAGAGGATAGTGCTGGCTCTCCTCGAAAGTTAAATGGCTATTGCAATGGACATCTCAGCAGTCTAGAGCAAGGAGTTCTTGCCAACTCTGGAAGTGAAAAGTGCAATGGAGATACACTCGTGACATCCATTAATGGCAATTACTATGCAGTCAATGGTGATATACAATCTAGCAATGATTCCTTGCATGCAGACAAGAGAGATGTGCCTTTTGTTTCTCATGGCTTTGAGCCAAGACCTTACAAAGTACTATCAGACAGCAACAACAATTGCAGTAGGACAAGCAATGGGAAACCTAAAGCTTGCCAAGGGGACATGTCATTTTTACCTCGGGGCTTCCTTGGAAGGCCTAGTCCTAGAGGAATTTCAGTCAAAGCAGATGATGGCTTGCCATTTAGTAATGGTGCATCATCATCCTTTGGGAATGGAAAAAGTAAGTCAAGTAACAACTCATCTTCTATAGGTGGCTTGTCTCCTGGTTTCCTTACAAGACATCGCAGGGAATCCACGGTCCTAGGCACAAGCTCTGACATTTCAATGGATACAAAATCTAATGGTGCTGCAGTAATGCCAGACCATGCAGAAGAAAGGGTTTCGGATTGTACGACAAATGGATCTTCATTCCAAATAAGAGCAGCGTCCGACCACCTTGATGAAAATGGCCTTGCAATTTTGACCACAAAAAATAACAGCTGTGGGCAAGAAAATGACAGTAATGGAACCCCCAGCATGAATCATGATGGATCTGAACATGATGGACTGCGCCGACGAATAACCTCAAAAAAATTTGAGCAGGATGGTATTGATGCCCAATAAAAGCATGACTGTGTTGCTATAGCTGGTGAGAATAGAGGCCATTCGAGCACACAAGTGAGAGCCTGTGTGCTCATGTCATAGCTGGTATATAAACTGATGAAGGGCTGTGAGCTAGGAAGTAAATGCTAGCTGATTGATTGCTCGAAACTGCTACTGGAGCAAGCATTGTTTGCTTGATAGATTTTTTCCCTCTTTCGCCACGTGGCTCCCACTTGTCAGAGGGGTAGAGGGGTGTCTCTGGGTTTCCACACAATTTGCAGAAACCCAGATGCTCCCCTAATGCCATGCTATTTTGTTGGCCTTAGTGTTAGGTACATAGCTGAGCGTAGGCTTACTACTGTTCCCTTGATCCATAGCTTCAATAAACTGGAACTGCTGACTCCTCCGGTGTCCTGAAAGCTGAATTAATTGTAGAGTGATATAAGAGGAAATTCTCATGGCTTTCACCTTTATATTTTGCATCCCTTTGCCTCGCATGATATATTTTGTTGATGTTTACTGTGCGATGATGGATGAAACTCTTAACGTTGTTAGGGCACGTTTAGTTCGCGAATAATTTTAGGTTTGCCTATTGTGTAGCATTTTCGTTTGTATTTGGTAATTAGTGTCTAATTATGGACTAATTAGGTTCGAAAGTTTTGTCTCGTGATTTCTCATCTAACTGTGCAATTAGTTTTTTTTTTTTCTATATTTAATGCTCCTTCGATGTAACGGACAAAAACCAAAATTTTTTGGAACTAAACGCGCCCTTACTCTTGTCACTTCAAAATACATGAAATTTCCAACGCCTCAATGTTTTTTCCTCACATTGGCCTGGGTGCATACATTGGCTTATTTTGTTCCTGTTTATGTACTAGCAAATGCCTGTGCGTTGCTACATGTTTCAAAATCACGTGACTATGTATTTTCCAGTAACAATATGAAAGAAATATCTTGTATGCACCATGGTGTGTACGGTCAAAGGTCTTGCAATAACATCTTGTAATTCACTTTATTACTAAGCACCTCCTTAGAAGCCAATGATTAAAAGTCTACCATCAACACCTAAATCATTTAGATTGCAGTGGAGATATGACCTTTGTGAACTACAAACTTTTTAGATACACCTTCAAACTAATACAATATGAGGCAATCTAAGATGCACTCCCATAAATATACATGGACCATGGTCAATTAACTTAAGCTGGGATCTTTTACCTAGGCCAAGATCAATATACTAAAAATAATGCAAAACCTTTTCTTGATTTGTAGCAATTTATATTTGGAACATGCTCGTTCAGTCTGTCATCTTATTTCCATCAGCTTTTTATTTGCACACTGCAGCCAACAAAGGACAGATATTGCAGGGCATCACTCAAACTTTCTAAGACCAATGACACCTGAAATCGAACCATCCTACAATGAAGAAACACTTCATGAGACACTAAGGACAGGAAAGGGCTTGAAAAAAGTACAAGATTATTTTCTAGTTCAAAGCTCATGGTCCCAACCTAGAACATGCTTCCTGTCAACTGTACTCTCTGCTCAGCATTTTCTTCTAAGGTAGCAAATTAAAAAGAACATATTCCACCCACCATGTACTCGACTACAGGCAGCTCAAGTACTAAGATGAATATCACAAGCATCTTCTGAATATTATCAACGAAAAAGTTTCTTAATAAAAGAACATAAGCAAACAATTATCCCGGATTGGTCAGGTCATCACTGTTAGCAATCAGTGTCCTAGCGTTACCTTCACCGGATCAAATTGCTGTCCATTGAGTGATATTTTGTTTAAAAATAAGGTAAATAGATAGCCATATTCACCTGATAAAATTGTTGCGCGTTCCATTATATCAGACGACAACGTTATGACCTCCGCCTGCCGAAATTGGCATAAAGCAAGAACTAAAGCTGCCGAAATTAAAATAACTTACCTGCTCGTACTCTCCCTTATGGAAAAAAGTTATAAAAAAGGGCATCCGTATCTGTAACTACATGCTCATACATGGGTTGGATTTCTGAGGATGAGGTTTAGAGCATTCAGCTATATTAGCATTTAGCAAACAAGCACATATTTACCATTAGCATTGTTGAGAGATGCGCTCAACGAGAACTAAAAGCTCCTGCAGTGCATGGTAGTGGATATCCAGTGAAACAGAGGAATCATTTAAGTTAGCAATAGCAATCTTCATCAACTCAGCAGGGGATGGCATCTTTAACTTCTCCATCAGTTCTTGCAAGGCAGGCAACCACTAAAAAAATTGTTTTTACATCTTCCGAACATTGGTCTGAACTCTGAAGATCAACTTTACAACTAAGAGAAATAGGAGTTTCGTCTATTCAGGAAATTTCTAAAATTAATGGAAACAAAACTTAAAGAGAACTCTAAATTTATATTAAAAATATTCCCTCAGCCCTGCAGCAATCTTGTCACCTTAATCTCCAACTATTAGTTGAGAAATTCGGCCCCAATAGTATATCCAATTCTGCAACCCTTTCTCTCAACTTATCTGAAGATTCCGCAGTCCCTTCCCAAATCAATGAAGATGTATGATAACACAACTAAGCACAACATGCCGCAATTTTCAATAAACAAATTGAGCCAAACTATAAATAACACAGGTTCAAGCGCTCACAGGCTTTGCATCGTACTCGCACCTGGATGGCTGGACCTGACGTTGCTCTCCCAGCACAAATGGTCAATGCTCTCAAAGGTCATCAAGTTGTTACACATACACTCACATGCCATTATCCCATGATGGACGCTTCCACATCAATAACCAGTAATCTTCAACATCGAGTACTATGAACTATCTGAGCCCGATGAGTTCCCTCTGCTCTCAATTCCACTAAATTCTACTGGTACTAATAATAAACAACTCTAGCTCATACCAGCAATCTTTACACCCACCCAAGGAAACCACTCCAAAAGAAGCAACAACACAGGTGCATGCGCACAGGCACCATTGCGTAAGCAGATGCCATTTTTTTGTGCAGCAGTAGCAAGAATCATATTGGTGTCAGAATCGAGAAGATATAATTAGTGCTTGTTCTGTAGCACTATTTTTAATTACCTCCATCTAACCAAACTGAGCAAGCATATCGTAAGATTCGAACTCGATCCACACCTCGGGCCACGCTTACGTCCATCTAGAGCAAGCACGGGGAACTCGATCCACACCTCGGGCCACGCTGCAAGGGCACGCACTGCTCCCACGGCATCACCTGTGATCTCGGCGCCTGCAGCAGGTGGAGGTGGGGAAGCAGGTGGGGCCGCGGCGGCCTGCTGTGACTCCACCGCGTATCTTTGGCGTCATTGGCGACCATGCAATTGGCGGTGTCATGGCCTTCTCTTGATGGTCACGAATCCGCCACTGTGGCCGCACCCCAAAAGCCAAACTCGTTGTAGCAATCATCTTCCAGGCGACGACAGGCTGGATGCGGCGGAGGAGGCTAGATCCGGAGTGAGGAGGGGAAGATCTAGTGGTGCAGTCGCCTACTCGCTCCTCTCTCGGTCTTCACGGAGCGACCTGTAACGTTACTGGTATGGGTATTATATGAGTTTGATTTAGAACTGGATAGTATGGAGTTTACAAGCTCCGGTGAGCAACGTTGCCGCCGGCCAACTCGAGCCGCAGCTCGCTGCCTAAATCCGACGCCAACCAAGATGAAAAACAACCAGACTCCCGTTCCCCTTGTTCTACCCCTTGCTTACAGCTGTTGCTGGACAGCGGGCTCACCCGATGCAACCCCATTCATCCATTCTGGGCTAGCATATTTCGCGTTGGGCCTCCTTTCCCTCTTCGGCTTTGGGCTTCTCAGGCTTTGCAGCTTGTCAGCGGGCTGGACCGTGACATCACCCCCTTCATTAGCAACGGCTTATCCCCAAGCCGTGAACTCTAGAAACCGCTGAAGCAAATCATCTTCATCTTCCCAGGTGGCCATCTCAGCTGGTAAATCCATCCACTTGATCAACAGTTGATGGTAGATACGGTTGTGTCTTGTAATGGCCCGGCGATCCAAGACCAATTGTGGAGTCTGCACAGAAGGAAGATCTGCTGGTAATGGTGAGAAGTCAATAACACCGATACCTTTGACAGGCTTCAAGAGGGAAATTTAGAAAACATCATGCACTGAAGAGCCTGGAGGTAATTTCAGCTTGTAAGCGACAGCACCAATTTTAGCTTCCACTTCATATGGCCTGAAGTATCTGAAAGCGAGTTTGGGGTTAACCCGAGAGACAACTGAGCCTTGAGCATATGGTTGAAGCTTGAGCCAAACACGGTCACCCACCTGAAACTCACGTTCACTGCGGTGTTTATCAGCTTGGTGCTTCATCCGCTGCTGGGCTCGCAACAGATGTTGCTGAAGGATAGAAGTAACTGATTTCCTCTGGTGAAGCCACTGATCAAGATTGGAAATAGGACAGTCTTGATCTGGGTCAATGCCGAAGTGATTGGGTTGATGACCATACAACACTTCAAACGGTGAATGTTGCAAAGAAGAATAGTAGCAAGTATTGTACCAGAACTCCGCCAAGTGCAGCCACTGGGACCATTTGTGAGGACAGGCTTGTATAAAACATCGGAGATAAGTTTGAATACACTGATTGACCCGCTCAGTCTGCCCATCACTTTGCGGATGGTAAGCGGAGCTCATGCACAATTGAGTACCAGTAAGTTTGAATAGCTGCTTCCACAGAAGACTCATAAAAATCTTATCCCTGTCCAAAACTATGGCTGTAGGCATACCCAGTGTTCGCCTAAACGGATTAAACGGCCGTTTAAACGACCAGTAAACGGTAAACGGTGGTAAACTGTTTTGTTTAGGGGGTAAACGGGAATTAAACGGTTGATCGTTTAAACGGTAAAAAAACAGGAAAAAACGGCCTAAACGAAACGGAGATAAACGGCATTAAACGGGCTAAACAGCTGTTTAAACGGCCGTTTAGGCGAACACGAGGTAAATCTAGTTCAGTTTTGTATTGATAAATTTGTATACTTAAGTTTATTATATTT